GCGATACGTAATGTAACGTCGAATACTCAGGTAAGCTGATGGCGCATACTCGGCCGGGTTTGCCGCGGCCGCGCCCCAAATCGTGAAGAAAGTGGGGGAGCCGTAGTCTGATAGCGCGCAGTCTCTTGTACATTTTGATGTACAACACTTGTGTATTTGCTTCACTCTGGAGCTTACACGCAAAAAAAAAGATTGCTCATGCTACATGAGTGCAAGTTGAGCTCGAAACCGAATGCTTCTGCATCTGCTCGTAGAATCAATGAAGCCTGGGATGAAGGCACGGTTGCAGAGAGGACTGTTCGAGAGCGTTTGTTGATTACGCATTTATTGTTGTTTTTGTTTGGTTTTGTTAATAAACTTATGAGTGAAATGAAAACGGCGGATAATTTTTGCTCAACCGAATAGTTATAACACATAGACCGTCAGCTCATTTAATTATGGTATATGAATAATACAACCCAGCAGCCTGCCTGTCCTGATCTGATGATTTGAGATATTATTCGTGCAATATGCATTTTATATACAGTTCTACGCTCCGTGGTGTGCTCATTGCAAGCGGCTTCTCCCAGTCTGGGAACATCTTGGACATGCTGTTAGTGACAAGAACTTGCCTGTGAGAGTGGCAAAAATGGACTGCACTCGGTTCACGAGCGCCTGCAATAGCCTCTCGATAACAGGCTACCCAACGATTCTGTTGTGAGTTACGTGCGTACTCCATCACTACAATATTAATCGGTATTAATTGTCGGTTTCTGTAGTTTCTGCTTTCTTTCAGTTTCCGTCAGGGACGCAGGCTAGAGTACCATGGAGAGCGCACGAAAGAGGCCCTCTTCAATTTCGTCGTCAAAAGCTCAGCCCCGGTTATAGAAAAAATCAGCGCTGCGAGAATCAATGACGTTAGCGTGATTTGATTATTTTAGCTCTTTTTTCAGTTGTTCCATAAGCATATGTGTTTTCAGATAAGACGAGACTCTCGAAATGATCCTTGTTTTGTTTTGGTTGGAGAGGAAAAGGACGAGATCCATCATGAATTTGAAGAGATTGCTAACTCGCTGTTTTCAATGGTATTATTTCTTTTTTCTTTTCAAAAAATATCTTGTTTTTCTGCGCGAGACTCCTTGCGATTTCTGCTTGAACTTAATACCCGACTTATGGTTGGTTTGGACCTACCTCTACCTATTATATTGGGAAGGTAAATAAATTCGTACCGCTTTTGTTGCTGTGTTCGAATTTACGCAGTAATTTACCAGAAAATGACCTGCACCGCCTGAGCACCTTTGTTTCCCTCATACTGTACCTGTCGCTTTTTTCAAGATTGCAATAGTATTCAGATATAAGACTTAGACACGAGAATATCCAGGCGGCAATAACCGACATTTGTGGCAACTGCTATTTTTTTGGTTCCCATAAATGCCATAAAGCTTACCCATAATTTCGGAAAGCGAGCGTCGAGTGCAGACCACACACCACAAGTGACGACGGCCAAAAAAAGTGGCCTTCTTCTCCTTTTTCTGGACCGTCGTACTTGTGGTGTGTGGTCTGCACTCGACGCTCTTCTCTTTATCCGGAATAGAGGGTGTAAAGCTGGTCGGTACGTTCACCCTTGAAGCATGAATGGGCTACATGCAAGCCCACTGCTTAAATTTGGTTCTCCAAGTATAGGAAGGTGGTCCGACATGGGTCGCGTTGCACTGAAAGCACGACTTCAATTTGGTGGGGCTAGAGATACATCTGGCGTCTAGAGGCCTCCGTAGAAAAAAGAATGTAGACAAGAATCATTGAGCAGCTCAGTTTTATCGCGTGAAGCAGGCGTCGCAATCGAAAAGGAAAGGTTGAAAAGGAAAGATTGACTGACTGAAACGTAAAGGACCTTCCTACCAGCCTTTCGTTTCAATTTCAGTTTTGGTTAGGGCCTTTCAACTTATGCATTTTTTCATGACCGCATATCTAGAATTTTTTAAAACATATGCACGTTGTTCCTCACCTCGAATTCTCTCCCCTAATTTTGTAGGAAAATTCTCCCGCTTTATATGCTCATTCATATGGTTTTCACTTAATCAAGACTTCTCAGTGATATAAGTCGGTTTTTCGTAGTTTCTGATTTCTGAAATTTACCAGATCGTGAGCATACTTTTTCCTTCTTACTTGTCTTAAGCTTAGAGCAACACCGCCAGATTGGTTCATATTTTGGCTGCTATCGACTGACAAGATGGGTGAGCTCTGTTGAAAAAATGGAGTGTTGAAGCAAACTTACCTTGAGAAGCCACTACCGAGGGATTTGGATAGGTGCCAGCTTGGATCGGGTTGGATACGCCTACTCGCTAAGGCTGATGTCAGAGTCCGCGATCCACTGCGCGATTTTCGCGATTTTCGCGAAACCTGCGATGGATCACAGGAGTTGGAAGTGCC